GTGACAAACACCAAACAGACTCATGTAATTTTAAGTCAAACAGACTGGCAAGGTGGTATTTCTCCCACTTTCTGTACAGGAAACCAAGGCTCAAAGAAGTCAAAGTCTTACTGAAGGTCACATGCATACTGTTAAGTGGCAGCACATAGACAACCCAGATCAACCGCTCTAATGCCCATTTTCTTAGACAGGAAAGCTCAGCCTGAGCTCTGCCTTGGGCTCCACTTACAGCCCCCATCCCACTGCAGCTTAGGGATGGGGAAGGGGAAGGGGGCGGGAAGGAGGAGACTGCCTCTCAAGCAGAGAGCACCCTCAGCTGTTACAGCACGTCCACGCAGGGCCCTGGCACCAACAGGGTTCCCAGTGGCATCATCTGCTCTGATTCCCACACAATCCCCCTTAAGTACAAACATGGAATTTTGTCCCGTTTTGAAGATGAGGAAACTGAGGCCCTGGTGTTGCAGTGACTTGCTTACATGGCCACTCATGAGGCTGGGACCTCAGGCTTTCGCTGCTGTCCCTGAGACTGCACTACATCAGGGTTTTCATGAGAGGCCAGCGACCACCCGCTCCACAAGGGAGGGAGAGCCAGAGTGGCACGTGTAAAGGAACAGGCACAGGTTCTGGGGTCCACACGCCACTTACTCCTTCTACTCTACTCACTGCGCCATCCTGAAGAAGGTACCTAAGCCCGCCAAGCTTGATTTCACTTGGAAATGGACATTTCAACATCTATTCTAAGTGCTTTTCTAAGAGATTAAGACAGATAGCTGTGCATAAAGCACCCAGCACAGCAGCAGGCACACAGCAGATACCAGCAAATCTTGCCTTTCCCTGTTTCCCTACCCCCCAAGTCTGGGTGAGGAATGGCAGCCTAGGGCGGCACTGAGCTACACAGCATGAGAACACAGGTTATGAGTCAGGCCTGCAATAACTCCGAGCACACCTGCGGGGCCAGGGCTGCCCCTGAGCCGCCAACTGTTTCAACAAAAGCACATATCCCGCCCTAGAGGATTAGACTCGGGATGCCCTCAAGATGGCTGGCTGGCTTATTAGCTCAGTGCCTGCAATTAGAGGTCTCTGTAACCACAGCCAGGTACAAATCACAGGACTGGTTTTGGGGCCAATTACTCCTGAGCCCGGACTTTCCCCTGGCACCTCCTGGCAGGAATCACTCATCTCTCAGGCAGCAGGGGCCTCCCATGTATCAGTATACGTGGTATGTTCCAGCATGTCCACACATCCCCAGATGAACCAACCTGGAGAACACTGCCAAACAACCTAAGAAATACAGTTAAGAACTTCAGCTAAAGCTTCCCATGAAAGCACTCAGCCTCCAGACTACAGGCACAGCCTGGGGTCCAGGCCCTGGCAAGGTACTGCTGACCCACAGATGAAAAAGACATGGCACAGGGCCCATGAATGGCCATTGTCCCCACTAACACCAAGGCCTCTACCTTCTGTCTAGCCACATCAAATTCTAGAATGTGCCAGAACATTCAGAGCTCTATCCCACCTCCCAGCCATTGATCCTGCTAGTGCAGATGTCCAAACTCACATCCTCTCTCTACCTAAGCCCCCTGCAAACATGTCCATCTTTCCAGACTCAGCTACAGCACCCTCTTCTCCTGATCCTCTGACCCACACCCTCATCAGAAAGTGATGACTCCACCCTCCTGCGCACCCTCACTGCATATTCCACTTACCCAAACATGACTGCATTTATTGGTTTCACTGTTTCCCACCCGCGCCCCCACCCCTGGAACAGGAACTCCCTGAGGGCAGAGCTGCGGCTGACCCAAAGCTGGGGCTGCAGCTCTTCAAATGTCCAATATCCCAGGGGGTCTGAAACACATAGGACAAAAGAGAGGAGGACCCTCCTCTCCAGGGGCCCGAGGCACGTTTGAGGCAACGCCCAGAACGCCCACTGCTGTTCCCCTCGAACACAGCCAATTACGGGCACACGGTGGCCACACCAAAACACCCAATCTCTGCTACAGCCTCCGCCTTCCCCAGGCTGCAGTTCAAAAACCTAATTTGTTTCGGCTCCTAATGATGGGGCTATTTAGGGTGTTCCTAATTATGAAAATCATTATTATTCTAATTGGCCATGGAAAAAAGCCTCAATCTGGAGGCAAGCTAAACACCTGACAATAATGGAATAAAGGAATTTTTTAAAGTTTTTTTTAAACTTATACATGTATTTATTTGGGGGGGCAGTGAGGGAAGGAGGTAATTCGGTTTATTTATTTATTTTTAGAGGAAGTACTGGGGATTGAACCCAGGACCTTGTGAATGTTAAGCATGCGCTCTACCACTGAGCTATACTCTCCCCCTTCACAGGATAAAGAAATTCTTAAATAAATTATGGCACATCCTAATAGTGGAATACGATTCTTAAAAAAGTGTTTTTTTTAAAGGCTTTCATACTTAGGATAATACAAATTAAAAATGCAGGCTATGTAACTGCAAACACTATGCTCTCAGGTGGGCAGATGTGCTATTTACTGAGCACCTACTATGTGGCATGCACTCTGCTTGGTGCTCCTGTCACCCAGTTCTCTCAACTGCCCTTGAAGGTAGACATTATCCTCATTTTACAGATGAGGGAACTGAGACGAAAAGAAATTAAGACTTTACCCAAGGTCAGGTGGCTGGCCTGGAGGATACCATGAAGACCACGTTCTTTCCATCTTATGTAAATTAATTTTTAAAAGGCTGGAAGGAACAACTCTGATGTGATAATAGGAGTGATGGAATTCTATGATATTTGTTCTTCACCCCCTTCTGTTCGAGCAAATGTTTTACAATGGTCATATTGCTTTTCATGATCAGATCAAAGTTATTTTAACAACATAGATCAACAACTTTGACTAATAGAAAAACCATCCTGCTTTCCCTTGCATTCTGTCATCAGATTTAGCCACAAAGCCCTGTGCACAGCCCTGTAGCTCCAAGGCACAGAGGCACACTGCTGCTCTATCAGAGAGGCGTTTCACACAAAGGAAAACACTTCCATGTGCCGGAGTCTTTTGATTCCCAAGGGATTGAGAAAAGCTTCAGAACAAGATCCGAGCTGGCACAGAAACCCGAGTGAAACTCGTCCTGCCGAACTGTGGGCCTCCGGGTTGGGAAACCACACAAATGGGGCCACTAGAGTTGCGGCCTCTGGGAAGAAGGCCCCACGCATGGATTTTAAACTGGTATCCAGACTGAGCAATTGTCAGTTCACCAACATGTGAGGACCCATTTCCTCCCTCCAAAGCCCACCAAGATGCTGCACGGCCGAGCCTGAGCCTGAGCCTGGCAGTTCACCCTGGGCCCACGCTACCGCAGGGGCTGTCCTCCCTCCTGTGTCCTGAGTGGAGATGAACACAGCCTGTCACCCCTCCCCTTGGCTCATACACACGTGCTCCACTGAGTCTCCCACATGCTCTGTGACCTTGGGACAGTACCCCCCACTTCCTTGCGTTCTACTGCTCGTGTGCTTGGGTGGGTTTTCCAGCCTTTTATAAGCAACAGAACCCTTTTCCAAACGTGGCCATACACCACCCATTGATACATGAAACACAGAAACGTGGGTACACTTATCAACACACAGGTGGCCTC